CCCGTGTTAAGTGGTCGCACAAAAACTACGCGCATGGGGGTGCGACCAAACCCCGCGATCACTTTTTGTGACGTACTATGATATAGTTTTCGATACTTATATATATAGTTTTGGGTCCCGGGGACTCATGATTGGATCCACGAGTGATCCCCTTACTGTTGCCACATACTCGTTGCAATATATATGTATCATAGGATCCAAGATATCACGAGATAGTAGATTACCTTGCAAAGAACAAAGATGTCACGAGTTCCGAATAGTAAGAACTCTGTGTAGATTCAGTACCAGATCTACACAAGGATCTAATCAGAACTTCAGAAATCACACAAATCGATATGATAATCTATAATCTTATAATTTTATTTCTTACACACCACTTAAAGTACACGTAATCTTGTGCAGTCCCAATTCTAGGTGTAATTTTAATAACAATTAACTGGTGGTAGTAGGTACTATATTTTTTCAGTATGAAAATACTAGGGAGCAATTTGCAGGGGATACCTATGTACTGTACAAATACGTACATACTGTATAAATATGTATGTACTGTAATAATAAGAATACGTATGCATGGTGCTTCCTACCTACCTATCTTGCGGTACTATTCATATGTATGTACTAGCGACATAACAAAATGACCGTTGCATTCTCAACTGGTAACTTAAGAATGACATTTAAAAAATACCCCCCATTTGAAGCCATATAACTTTATTATTGCTTGTACAACAATAAAAGGCACTACACATTCAAATAGTAATAAGAGCAATAGAATAAAAAAAGAACCATCCAAATTGCCCAATTATTTAGCTTATTTCAGTAGTAAGCTGGTAAGGGGACGGTTATTTCCTGACGGAGGAAGTACCCAGTTTTCGAGCTTTTCAGAAAATTGAAAATTTGAAACAGCGGGAACGAACTAGTATGTGGAATGTTCTTCGGGAACGTGCGCCATTCAACGGGCCTTGTAAATAAAGTTAGTACGATCCAGAATTTTCATCGTGCTACAGCACATAGTCTCATTTTATTTGTCCTGAGTGGTATGTGGAAGAGAAACGTACTTCCTCCGTCCGGGAATGACCGTCCCGTGACTCCTTTTTGGCCGTCCGGATATGATAGTCCCCTAACAAAGTACCCAGTAGGATACTGCCCAATCACTACCAGAAACATATTTCAACTGTTAAATTGATTGCAACTAAATAATATTACTACTGGTTAACTACTACTCTTCCGCCTGCAGTGTTGTTAGTAGCTTCCACTTGAGCCTGTGCAAGTAGTGCACGTCCCGCATTGATGCGATCAGGATCACAAATGATCGAAATTGGAAGGGTACCTTCTCTCATTAGGCTTGCTTTGCCCATATGCGGAAGCTTGTAGTTGTTATCACCGTCTACACCAAGAGACGCTTCCATACAAGCCTGGAGGGACAAAAATACATTATTCAATGTTTCACGTGAGCACTCATCAAACGCCTCCTTCACATTCGCAATCAGATGATCAATATCCTTCGAGCGCTTCTTATACTGTAAGCTTTGAATTGAATTGAAGAATCCAAGGTCAAGTACATTCATGTCCAGACTGTTTGGTGGTTGAGTCTTCACAGTAATGTTCCAACCTTTGCTAGCTGCAGCCGCTTTCACCTCGTCCCTGATAGTAGCCTTATGAGGCTTCGCATTATCCTCCTGAATGAAAATCTCCGGAGTAGTAGATCCCCTCGGCCACTTCTTGTAGATCGCAGGCAGTACCTTCTCAAGCAACATCCGTTTGTACACCTCTCCATTAACGTTCTGTGGCTTGGTAACCAAGGTTCCTTTGGGGCGATTCACAGACGATCTTTTGGCTGGTTCTTTTACGACAAAGGGCCAAATACCAATCTTACCATCAAACCAGACACGGTTGTTCGTATCCCAACGTGGACGGGCTGTTGCACACAAAAACATCACCTTCGTCATATGGTTCTTCGACTTCGACGTTGACTTGGGCTCAGCTTCACCTGGTAGCAGATAGGTCGTCTGCTTTGTCCGCTTTAGATAAAACCATTTCTCATCGATGTGGATCCACTTGAACCAGTCGTTAAACTTACCGTTCCGATCAATGTGTTTCATGATCCATTCGACTCTCTTAAGTTTATTCGCAGGTGTCAGCAGCAAGGGCTTTGTGCTTCCGTTGTGCTTCTTAATATTCCCACGTCTCACAAGGACGTGTAAAGTTGACTTAGGAATCCCAGTTGCAGACGCTAGAGTGTGTAGATCACCTCGGTCTTTGTACGCAACGGTGCGGAGTGCATCCAGATCTGATAGGGGTGTTGGCTTGCGACCACTCAAGTGTCTTCTACTGGAGACATTCCCAGCAGGACAAGTGATTGGATCATAAGTTTCCTTGTACCGTTTCCAAACCCTTGAGATAGTTTTGGTTGACATGTTGAACTGTAGTGCAGCATCCTTAACAGCTCCCCTCCTGAGAAGCTTGCCTTCACCACTACTCCTTAGATTTTGTAGGAGGAACTGGAGAACTGCGCTTCTTTCGTTGTCCGTTAGAAGCCTGAGCTTTCGTGGGCTTGTATCGCTATCACTTGCAGTATCGCTTGCCGTATCGCTTGCTCTATCATCACTCACAGTATCGCTCGCCGTATCGCTTCCACTTGCCGTAGTAGTATCGCTCGCCGTATCGCTTCCACTTGCTCCTGTTGTTGTTGCAGGAGTATCGCTAGCTTCAAGCAGCTCAATYGCATTAGTTRTCATCTTGCTGTTAGTTGATTTGCCTTGAAAAGAATGAAGGGGGAAAAGAGTGAGTTAAATGGTTGATTGTTGAATACGGACCGGTCGATGGAGGTGCGTTGCGAGTCGTCGATGGATCCCCTCTTAGTGAAAGCAACGGAGAGGCGTGGAAGCAACAGACACGCAAGGCCCTCCCCCCCCGCCTCTTAGTGGAGGCAACGGAGACGCAATCCCCTCTTAGTGGAAGCAACATAGACGCGGGGAGTGGAAGCAACGGAGACGTGAGCCAGCAACGGAGACGCGAGCCAGCAACAGAGACGCGATTCCCTCTTAGTGGAAGCAACGGAGACGCGATGCGAGTCATTCTTGTTGGCGCTTCCCCCTCTTAGTGGAAGCAACGGAGACGCGACGCGAGTCATTCTTGTTGGCGCGTCCCCCTCTTAGTGGAAGAAACGGAGACGCTGGAAGCAACGGAGACGCCATTCCCTCTTAGTGGAAGCAACGGAGACCGCAAGGGGAGGCGAGTCGGTCTTCCCCCCCTCAGTGGAGGCGCGTAGTAGTGGAGGCGCGTAGGCTCAACGTCGATGAGTGGGAGGCGCTCAGTGGAGGCGCGTCGATGAGTCACTTGAGGTGCAAAGAAGAAAGAAGCTGGTCTTAGTCAGTTGAATGGAAAGAGCGAAGTGACAGAAAGGAGTCAAAAAGAGGAAATTGGGAGGTGTGAGTGAATCAAGAGTGAAAATTATCACGTGAAAATAACACGGGGAGCATTTTTGACCATGCGCACAGCATTTTTTTTCTCTTCGCATGGTTCTCTGGCTCAAAATTGAAAAAAACTGCACGAGCCCAAACAACTGCCCGAGCAATATTTGGGTTCTCTTTTGACCAACAATGACTGCACAGGAACCTTCTCAATAAGCACGATAAGCATATCATAAGAAAGCTCTCACTCTCAGCTTTCTATAGCCACCAGTCCCGTAGTTAAATGACCGGCAGAACCGTTTCAACCGGTAAAATGAAAATCATATGCCAAAATGAGGTCTCTTTAAGTAGTTACACCAAGTACGTCAGACATATTGACTATATTCAATCTACATGAATGAATAACTGTATAATAGATCTGTTAAGTGCAAAAAGAAGGAATTGAAACGCCCAAGTATTGAGCTTATTTCAGTAGCAAGTCTGTAAGGGGACAATCATTTCTGGACGGAGGAAGTACTGCGGAACAACACATGTTTTCAACTTTCCATCTGCTTGACATCTGGAAGCATTTCTGACCTCTTTACATTGAAGTTCAACCAACGTATGCACAAAAAATAAATACCGATAGGACACCAGAAACATTGCTCAAAACCATCCATCATCTTGAATTGCAACATACCGTAGGTAAGTACGTACGTAATGAAAATATCGTTACGCGACGTTCAGGCATGTCTCTATAGGTACGTACGTACGGTACGGTAGTTGAGTAAGGAACTAATCGTAACGGAACTCGTACCGTTAAACAGGTTCAGGGTACAGTAAGTATGGTACGAGTTTCTACAGAACTGTACAGAAGGCAGGTTCAACTGGTGACCACGCGAGACGATTACATTTTCGTGGTTGTCGCGAGCCGTCACTTGATAGAAATATTTACTACTGTACTAGGGACAGTATTATGTTTTCATTGGCTACCTCAGTGGTACACCCAGTAGACAAGCATAGATGAATCTACATCAAATGTCAACCTCACCGCCAAGAATCAAGTACACATCTCATTAATTTTTTCTAGAAAAAGACTGACGTACAAAGGAATTTCAAGAACAGGTCAGAAATCGAATTTTTCTCCATGATCTTGAACCACACGATGAATCAAAATTAATTCCTTATTAAATGTATTCAGATCTGTATTTATAATATAAACTTCTAGAACTTCTTCTTCAAAGATGTTGAGAAGACCGCAGCAAATGTTCCCCCCATGAGTACCATTGGGAGCTTTCCGGCACATCTGCAACTTTCCGTCGAGACATCTACCTAACATTGACAAGAAGTTTGTTGTCAGTTTTGACTAATATGTGAAAGTCTACATTTAAAGTATGTGCCACGAGTCAGCACGTGTCTGATTTTGGTTTTCAATTCATGTGTATTCTTATCACTAAAACGGTCCGGCAGTAACGGGATCGAAATGAAACAAATCATTGCTCTAAACAACTCGAGTGCGATCAAGGTTTTTTTTTCGAGCCTGGTTCTACTCCGGTTCGGTCTTTGTTTTTGGATCAGCCTGTCTCTCTTGTCATGTGCATCTCCTATGTTTTTCATGCTTCCAAGCGAATAAATTATCGTGCTGAGCACAGCGCGTACGGCTTTTGTTCACTACTTCTGCGATATCTCTCCATCAGCAAAAGAACACCATTTCTGCAACTGCGCCTTCTTTTCGTCTCAGAATACTCTCTGTTCAAAACAAATAGGAAAAGATACCATACTTGTTGCATAGTATCTCCCAACTACCGTAGGTGCACCATCAGCTTAGAGCAATTCACCAAATCCTCCTTTCAAAAAGAGTGGACCTGGACATAATGGTTCCCATACAATTTCCGCATCGTTCCCAGTCGCAGCCTCCAATGTATTCGCATTCGAACCGTCAAGTGGGATCCTCCCCTGACGAGATGCATTATAGCATGGAGATGAAAGATATTGAACGCTCGAGTCAGCTCGAGGGATCCCGCAACAACAATGCCCAAAAGCTCCTAGACCAAGAATGCCCGATCGTGTGGCGATGGGTTCCCTTCCATGCAAATCACGGCGACTCTGGCATTTCTTCCTTGTCGCAACCGCGGGTTATTTATGCTACTTCCAAGAAAGTAGGAAAGCCCGAGCCCTCTCCATTGCTAACAGGAGGAGAGCTGAGAGAGGCTCGAGAACTCCTAATTCGAAGCAAGGTGAACTCTCTTATCGAAGCAACGTCTGCCACGGAACCTTCCCCATTGTCGCTTCGCATCCCCCATGTTCCAAGAAATATTCCTCCACACGTTAATCTTGTGCGTCACACTCAACACCAAGTGCTTTTGGAGTCGCAAGGTGCAAGCGGCAATGCCAGCAACGGCATGAACTCGTCGTCCAAAAGAGCAGAAACAGCAGGAGGCGAACTTGAAGTTGCGAACTTGCTGCTCAACATGGGTGGGGGAAGTTCTCCAAAGTCCGGAGAGACAGCCCAAAAGAAGAAACAAACCACCAAAAAAACCGCTTTGCCCTCAAGACCGAAAGGACAGACGGGAAAATCTGCTGCGGATAAGAAGCCGTCCTTGCTGGAGGATACTTACCTTGACAATTGGGTAGCGGGTTCTATTTCATTACACACTCCCGAAGACGACGATGTTTTGTCTCCTCTCCATTGCTTCATGAGACGATACTGTGTCGAGGCCTTTTCCGCTACTCCCGAAGATGTTGCTACACCAAGATATGGAAAATCGCACGGTTTCAAGGTTGAAGTTGGGCAAGTGGGGATCCGTTGTCTACACTGCAAGGACTTGCCTCCCAGCAAACGAGCCGAAAGGGCAGTTTGCTATCCCAGTTCATTGCGAAATATTTACCACTCGATCGAAACCTGGCAACGCCGCCATAGTCTGGTCTGCAAGTGCATCAATCCTTGGGTTCGCAAAAGTATTTTGGAGCTCATGGAATCCTCCAAAACCCGAGCGGGTGGGCGACGCCAGTATTGGGAAGATTCAGCACGGTATGTTACGGTGTGATGGGTATGCTTTGCGATTTCGTGAACTACTTTTAGATATATATGGTCTCTAATTTGCTTGGTCGTCGGTTATTCTTCGTTTCTGCTACTTTTTAATTGACAGCCGCCTCGGTATGGTGGATACATCTCAGGGTGTTCGATTCTGTCGCAAACCTGGTGATCTAGGTCCTATTCCATCTCCGGGGAGTGGTCGCTTGCCAGGAGAGCCGGACGTGCCACAGCACGAACCAGAAAAAATTGTACGAAAAGAAGACAAGGACCTCGTTACAGATTATCTCTTTTTGCTCATGGATCAAATGCAAACCTGTCAATTCACAGAAGAAGACAGGACGGGAGGTCGTAGCAAAATCAAGGACAACGAAGTTGGCTTTCCTGGGATGGAATGCCGTCATTGCCAAGGTCGTGCGGGATTTGGACGGTACTTTCCTTCGTCAGTAGCTGCCTTGAGTTTGGCCAATTCTGATCGGAATGTCTACAACCATTTGCAAAAATGTCGAAAATGTCCCGAGAGCGTTAAGACAGAGCTAATTCGCCTTCAGAAGACCCAAGCGCAGTCCAAGAATCGTAGGGGTTTGCGAAAGCTCTTTTTCAATCGGATTTGGAAAAGAATGCACAAGGTTGACAAGGACGACAGCGAAAACTCCCGTCCATCGGAGTCGGGTTTAGTCGGGAGACAACAACTACCTCAAGGACGTCCTGGTGAATTCGTACAGTACAGCTTTTCTCAGCTACCCCCTGCAATCATGAATCATTCCTACCAACATACTATGCATCCTCAGGTGGCGGTCCACAATTTTAGGCGATATTGATCTGTTTTTCGAATTCAGCGCGCTAGTACTCCATCGTACTGAGCTCATGGAATAATATTGGCGTTCGCCACAAAAGGGGATGAGTCTATATCCATATACTTGCATCAGAAAATTGAATTCTGCATATCTGTATATATAGAGCCGACAATAGTCACAAGATACAAATTCAAATACAAAGAGACACCGCATTATCTCAGCTTACACAACTAAATAAAAAACTGCATAATATACAAAATTGAATCGGTACTTCTCTGATTCATAGATACTCTAAAACACTGAAGTTCGAACTGCTATTATGATACTCAAACCGTAGTATTAGCAGTTTCGATTTTTTTCCAACGAACAACATTATACTTTCCTGGTTTTGTCGCCTATCTCGACAAAAAGCTTGCGTCCCGAGACTTGTTCTTTTTCCTCTTCTTTTCCAGAATCTTTTCGACCCCTTTTTCTCCTTTCCGCTTCCGGATTTCCTCGAAGCGGGCCTCGAGTTCCAAGCGTTTCTTTTCCTTCCGTTTCAAAAAGTAAGCGCCGCTCTTTCCGGATTCAACGTCCTCTCGAATCTTGCGCTTGACGGATTGTTTTGCGGCACGATCGATCTTGCGACGTTCGAGATCGGCCCTGGACTGTGTCAGTGACTTCAGGCGGGCAACGTCTTCTTCCAGCGTAGAAGAATGGCTTCCGTCCGCTTGGGTTATTCCGGCCTTTCGGCGCAATCGATTGCCCTTGTTGCCGGTCGCCCTGTGGGCCGCGATCCGTTTTCGGACCTGCCCGATTTCTTTGTTACGCATTTCCTCCAAAAAGGCGTAGTTGTGATGGAAGCGGTCTTCGTCGAAATGTCCGGTCAGGTTCGAGAGCCGTGGGTCCATGGGTTTGTATCGGTGCGCACCGATGTCGACGCCCAATCCACTCTCGTTGAGTCGTCGTGCCCCACGTCCATAAAAATCGGCTCGCTTGGAGGAGACCTCTGTCGGTTTGTGCTTGTTTTTCTTCTTTCTTGTTTTGCTGGCCGCGCTTTGTTTGTTCCCCGACGATTTTTCTGGACGCTCGTCGTCTTCGTCTGCCGTACCTTCTCGCACCTGGGTCTTCCGTTCTCTTTTCAAAGCAGCCAATCGTTTGGTGGCCTCTTCCAGCGCCCGAGATTTCTGTTGACGACGAGACGCCAATTTTGCTCGACCCTTGCTTTCTTTTTTCAGGATGCGTTCTTGGAGAGGTGCGTCGTCTTCGTCCGACGACGACTCCTCTGGATCTTCTTCTTCTTTCTCTTCATCTGATGAGTCGTTGCCATTGCTTGCTTCCTCTCTCTCCGATTCGCTGCCCTCGCTCGATTTTCCTTCCCCTTTGCTGACACTGTCAATATCGGCGCTCATGACAGAGTATTCGTCGTCATTCTCGTCGTCGCTGCTATCGCTGTCATCACTCCCGCTGCTCGCTTCATCGTAGTTGTATTCTTGCAGTTGTTGTTTGTTCGGTTTTCCCATTTTCTGGTTGTGACTCTTGAGCTGTAGTATTTCGCGTCTTGCTCGTTGCAGTGTGTTTTACTAGGGTTTGTAGAAGGCACTTTTCTATTCAGTTTTGGTTCGTTTCTGCTTCAACACGTTCAGAAGAAAATCCGTATCAGTCCATTTTGTTCTCCGTTTTCACCAAGTGAGAAAAAAGGCTGGTTGGCAAGGCCTACCGTACGGTATGATCGTTTGACGGGGATTTTTGTTACTTCGGGGGATGGCCTTTCAAATGGGGGAAATTCAATTATTAGGGCAATGTGACAATAATCTTACAAGCAGAGCTTGATTCCGGCCAAGTGGTTGTATTCCTCCTCCGTATCATCACTGATGTCACTAACGGTTGAAAATAGATCAGCAAACCAATCAAAAATGGAAAAAAGATGCCAAGCAGCCAGGCCCTGTAGAGTTTTACATCTAAATTTGCAAAGCATTGTACAATAATTTTGAACATAATGAATTACTTTTGATTCCCCAGTACCACCAGCCCCAGATGGAAAACAGATGAACTACCTTCTGTGAATTTGTTGTGGCCATTACCAATTAATCTTCCTTTGGGATCTCTTTTTCTTGATTGTTCAGGTGGTGAAAGGAAAGAATTTTGATGAAAAGTCAAAAGAACAAAAGTAGCAACAATCTGGCAAAATGCATTTTCTTGGTCTTTGTAACTTTTAAAACTCAACTTTGCATAGTGTCTGATATTTTCCAAGCTTCCAGTAAATGTGAAGTTTTTCATGGCTCTTGCAAGATCAGTCTCATGCAAGCTATGAAAAACTTAATATTTTTTTCAGAGCATAGTGTGGGAGTGACTGTCCTAAAAGAGATGTAAARTGTGTGCTAGTAGAAAAGTGAGTCGATGCTCTTATCGAGGATCGACGAACTATGAAATCTAGAATGGATCGCTGAGAGGATCGAGTGAGGTGTGAATCGAATGAGTCAAGTCACGCACGCAAGTGAATGAGATGAGTCGTGTCGATC